AAGGAAGAAATAAAGACCAAGTATGAGGGTAAAACTTCTAACCCTAAACCTTCTTCTTATTCATCTTAAAGGCAAGACTGTTGTATTAAATCCTCTTAGACCCATCCAAGCCTATGAAGATCAACTAAAGATTACTCAAGATTACAAGCAAAGGAGAGATCTCCTTGATTGTGGCATGAGTGAGAGAGAAAAGAAAGAGAGTATTACTTTACTTGAAAATCAATCAAAAGAGAGGAAAAAGAGTGGTGAGAAGGTGAGAAAAGAAAAAAATAGAATGGTGGGAGTGAAGGAAAATAGTGAAAAAAAAATATTATTGTGTGGGAAAAGTAAGATTCAAGAGGCTTTGATGAGTGAGCAAGCTCTTATTGTAATTCTCAAGAATATTTATTTTTCTACTAATACTTTTGACCCCACTTTGCCTTCTAGTGTTGTCTCTTTGTTGCAGGATTATAGAGATCTATTCCCTGATGAAATTCCTGATGGACTTCCTCCCTTAAGAGGAATTGAGCATAGGATAGATTTCTTGCCTGGAGCTGCTATTCCAAACAAGCCTGCTTATAGGGCTAACCCTGAAGAGACTAAGGAGATCCAGCGCCAAGTAGAGGAATTGATGATGAAAGGCTTTGTGCGTGAGAGCCTTAGCCCTTGTGCTGTCCCTGTCATCTTGGTGCCAAAAAAAGACGGATCTTGGAGGATGTGTGTTGATTGTAGAGCAATCAACAAAATCACTGTAAAGTATCGTTACCCTATCCCTAGACTTGATGATATGCTTGATGAATTACATGGTGCTTCTATCTTTTCTAAAATTGATCTTAGAAGTGGTTATCATCAAATTCGTATGAAAGAGGGTGATGAATGGAAAACTGCCTTTAAAACTAAATTTGGATTATACGAATGGTTAGTTATACCTTTTGGTTTGACTAATGCTCCTAGCACTTTTATGGCATTAATGAATCATGTTTTTAGAAAGTTTATAGGCAAGTTTGTTGTGGTTTACTTTGATGATATTTTGATTTATAGTAAATCTTTGACTGATCATATGAATCATCTTAAAAATATGTTTGACATCTTGAGGGAATATAAATTATATGCTAATTTTCAAAAGTGTTTCTTTTGTATGGACTCTGTTATCTTTTTGGGATTTGTTGTTGGATCACAGGGAATTCGTGTAGATGAGGAGAAAGTTAAGGCTATTCGTGAATGGCCAACCCCTAAGAATGCAAGTGAAGTGAGAAGCTTCCATGGCTTAGCAAGCTTCTATAGGAGATTTGTTAGGGATTTCTCTAGCATTGCTGCCCCTCTTAATGAACTTGTTAAGAAGAATGCGACCTTTAAATGGGATAAAACACAAGAAAGGGCCTTCCAAACCCTAAAGGATAAATTGACTAATGCCCCTTTACTTGTTTTGCCTAATTTCTCTAAAGCATTTGAAATTCAATGTGATGCTTCTGGTATTGGTATAGGTGCTGTTTTAATGCAGGATTCTAAGCCCATAGCTTACTTCAGTGAAAAGCTTCACGGCGCAGCTTTGAATTATTCCACCTATGACAAAGAGCTTTATGCTCTAAAGAGGGCCTTAGAAACATGGCAACATTATTTATGGCCCAAGGAATTCATCATTCATTCTGATCATGAAAGTTTAAAATTTCTCAAGTCTCAAGGTAAGTTAAACAAGAGACATGCTCGCTGGATGGAATTTATTGAAACCTTTCCTTATGTGATTAAGCATAAGCAAGGTAAAGAAAATATCGTTGCTGATGCCTTATCTCGAAGGTATACATTACTTTCCTATTTGCATGCTCAATTGCTTGGTTTTGAGATTCTAAAAGATCTTTATAAAACTGATCCTGATTTTGAAAATATTTGGAAATCTTGTGAAAATCATGGATCTGGTGATTTCTTTAAATTTGATGGATTTCTTTTTAAGAAAAATAAATTATGCATTCCTATTTGTTCTATGCGTGAGTTGCTTACTAAGGAAGCACATAGTGGTGGTTTGATGGGACACTTTGGTGTAGATAAAACTTTGGCTATTTTGTCTGATCATTTCTTTTGGCCTCACATGCGGAAAGATGTCATATTTGTTTGTGATAAATGCATTAAATGTAGACAGGCAAAATCTAAGATCCAACCTCATGGACTTTACTCTCCTTTACCCGTCCCCTCTCACCCTTGGGAACATATCTCTATGGATTTTGTAATTGGATTGCCTAAATCTTCTGCAGGCAAAGATTCCATATTTGTTGTTGTTGATAGGTTCTCTAAGATGGCACACTTTATTGCTTGTGCTAAGACTAATGATGCTGTTAACATTGCTGACTTATTCTTTAAAGAGATTGTTCATTTGCATGGTTTACCTAAGACTATTGTGAGTGACAGAGATGTGAAGTTTCTTAGTCATTTCTGGCATACCCTATGGCATAAATTAGGGACTAAGTTACTTTTTTCCACTACTGCCCATCCACAAACTGATGGTCAAATTGAGGTAGTTAACAGAACTATGACTACATTATTAAGAGCAATAATTCAGAAGAATTTGAAGAATTGGGTGAATTGTTTACCTCATATTGAATTTGCTTACAACAGGGCTGTTCATTCTTCTACTTCTTATTCTCCATTTGAAATTGTTTATGGTTTCAATCCATTATCTCCTATTGATATTTTACCTTTGCCTTTCTCTGAGCATGCTAACACTGATGGCAAGGAAAAAGCTAAGTTTGTGCAGGACTTACATGCTAAGGTTAAAGCAAATATAGAGCGAAAGAATGAGCAATATGCCAAGCAAGCTAATAAAGGCAGGAGACGTGTGATCTTTGAGCCTGGAGATTGGGTTTGGTTATATTTAAGGAAAGAGAGATTTCCTAATCAAAGGAAGTCCAAACTTCAAGCTCGAGGAGATGGACCTGTTCAAGTTTTGGAAAGAATTAATGATAATGCTTACAAGATTGATTTGCCTAGCTCTTATGGCAATGTTAGTGCCACATTTAATGTTTCTGATTTATCTTTATATGATTCTGCAGATTCGAGGACGAATCCTTTCCAACTGGGAGGGAATGATGGGCCCCATGGCACAGGTGACATAACATTAATGGCAACGAAGCCTGAGGATGGTAATCATGAGCATGGTGACATAGAAGGAGCCCAATACTTCCAATCCAACGTACCTAAAGACCCATTGCAACATATTGGAGGTCCAATGATAAGAGCCCGAACCAAAGCTATGAAGCAAGCCTTGTTTAGTCTTGTGCAAGAAGTTCAAGAGCTTGGAGAGCATTGGGGCACTCCCCTCAAGTCCAAAGGAGAGCATCTATATGTGTATAATGTATTTAAAATCCAAACTCATGAAGAGTCAAGCCCAAGAGATGCAGACCTTAGCCCAATGCAAGGAAGACTACAAGTTGAGCCTCTTGCATGCAAGGAGACATGAAACCCTAGTAAAGAAGTCAAGAGTGGCGTGATTTCAAATCCTTTATGATCCCTTGATTGTCTCCTAAATTATTTCCTATTTTAATGGTCCTTTGATTTGATTTTCTATTTTGAGTCTAGTCAAAGGTTAGAATTAATTATAATATTAATTTCTAAATTTTGTAATCCCATAATTTTAGGATCACATCTCCTAAATTATGTGGCTAAATATTTTATCATTATTTCTCCTTTTAGTATTAGGAAATTAGGGTTTTAATTTTAGGAAATATTTTTCTATAAGCCTATATAAATTAGGCATGCTCCTTATTGTAAGAGAGACAAAAGTTGAATGAAATTATTCATTTTAGAGTTTATAACTCTTGTGAGCCTTAGTGCTTTGTGGTGGTATCCCGTGTGAGAAACCGACGTGATCAAGAGCGTGATCAACTCTTGTGGTGTCTTCGAAGGTTGAGGTTCCTAGAGGCAGGTGCTCTAGAGGATCTTCTCCTTGATCATTATCCTATTGTTTACTTCATACCTTTCTTTATTTCCGTCATAAATTTCGTCCCTTTTTTTTTTGTTCTTGTGTTTTTGTTGTTTCAGGGTTCTGTCCCTAAACTAGCACGATTCTGCTTCCGCGTCCCTATCAAAAACCCTTCCCATGATGTACTTGATCCACTGTATTATGAACCATAGGAGAGATGCTTGATCAAGGAATTAATATAACCATATCAAATAAAGATTAATTTATTGATAATAAAATGAACTCTATTCAATTCCTCTAATTATTAGCTATATGTAGTGACGTTTACAATTACAGCTAAACACAGGGACATTATCCTTTTATTTATTTGTTTTTATGTACTATGTAATTTGTTCTTGGGATTGCTACTCATGCACCCTTATATACCATCCATTAACCCATAATCCTTATTGCTCATCCATATTCTTAGCATCCAAAGGCTATTTCGAGAAGTTATCCACGTGTCATGTATTAAGTTAGCATAACAGATAATAGTAAAGTTGTTAAATTTGTAAGTTTAAGTAAACTCGTGATAGGAATATAAACTCGTATCATAAATTCGGATTGTAAATTCATAAAAGTTTACCTTTATTAGTAAATAGTCATTAAAATATAATTGTAATTTAATTTAAATATATTAAAAATATAAATCATTGAAATTACACCCGTCTACATTGATAAATTATCATATACAAGACATACAAATTTTAAAATAGGAAAATTTATTTTTGGTATTTTTATTTTCTTTTTTATTAATATTAGTTTTTGCATTTTAAGTTTTTTTTAAACCAATTCTTATAACTTTTATGAATTGAATTTTTCATAATAGATACTTAACTCGCTCAACTAAAAAAAATTAATGAGCTTAACAAGTTTAACTAAACTTACATCTAGTCTAAGTTTATGAATTAGTTAACACGACTTTGTAAGTTGGAAATGTAAAAATGGTAAACTCGAAGGTAAACTTATGAGTTTAACCGAATTTGTATTTAGTCCAAATTTATGAGTGAGTTGATATAATTTTATAAATTAAAAATGTAAAAATATTAAACTTATATAGTCAACTCAAGACTTTGATAACTATGGATTATAATTTGTAATTAGTTATTTATTTGTCATACAGCCTCTGTGCATGTACGTTACTTCTTCGAAGTAATAAAGCAGTTCAGTTTTATCTCTCAAATACTTTTCTCTCGGTTTCTTGCTTCCGCTGTTCGATCTGTTACACATATGGCCATCTCCTCATCATACATCATGACAGTTTCGGTGACAATCGGCATTACAAACCCAACAGGTTATACCTTTCCTGATATGCGGTTTAGGACCATCGAAGACTGACCATCTTTCCTTTTGTTGGTCTTATCCAAACCGTTCTCATGAAACTTGCCTTTGTTCTTGCCTTGCGATTGACCATCATTAGGAAGACGCACACTGTCCCTTTCCATGATGTGCTTGCTCCACTATACATATAATTGAACCCAAAGAGATTCTTCATCAAAGAATATAAACATATCAAATAAATATTTATTAATAAATATAAATAATACCTCGATAACACAATGATTTCAGTTGACTACTCTTCCGATCTTGTTAAATGTTCAAAGCGAAGGTGATTAGAAACTTCTTCAACAATGTTTGGGATAACATCAATTTCTTCCCTGCTCAATTACAAGTATCCATTGATAAGCGCGTACAAAGTAAACAACTCAAAATTTGAATACAGTATTCCTTTTCATTTACTTTAAGATAACCTGTATGTTATCAAACCTTGACATATTTGAAAGGAAGGTGTGCCCACAAAAAGTAAAACAACACAATTTACATCCAACTTAAATGCTCAAAGCCTCAAAGTCATTTCTTCCTTTTTCGTTTTCGTTTTCTTGTCTTTCTTCAATAAAATGAGTTAAGGAAGTAGTTTATTGTTTAACTCTAGAAAGTTCTTACCTTTTCAACGCATTTTCCTTGAATTTTATAATATTGTTGATACACCTGTACATATTTTGGGCACTCAAGATAGGAAAATGTGCATTGTTTTTGATGGTATACATCATTGTGTAGTTGTGCATATTTTTACTTTTATCCAATAGCTTATAGATTTCACTTTCTTTTATAGATGTTTTGGGTTGAAGAATTAAGTCATTCAAGCACGTTGGCATGCCTGGGAAGCAATAGAAAATGGAACAGAAGCAAAAGACGCCAAGTCATGGTTGAAGAACTGAGGAAAATGTTGATAAGACAAGACTGAAACACATCCACGCCTAGGCCAAGAAAGCCGAGCCTAGGCCCACAGGCGGAAGCATCAACATGTGGGCAGGGAAAACTAGGCCTAGCCATGTCATATTTATTGAAATGCATATTGTTTTTGTGATTTTTTGTTAGAGCACCATGCAGAAAGACAATTTTAAATAAGATTAAATATGTCAATAAAATTTAATAATAATATTTTATTAGCTTACTTTTTAAAAATAAAAATAATTTTCATTTACTATAATTTTAAATAAATAATCATTTTATTTTTTTTACTTGAAGTTGAAGGGTAATATTAAAAAAGCATTGTTAATGAAATATTGTTTTTGTTAAATTATTTTATTTGTTGAGACAAGGAAATTAAATATACTTTTAAAGTTTTTTTTTTATAATTTGGGTCAGAGAGGAGTATATATTTAAGTTTTTTAGATATTATTTTTGACATTCTAGAGCTTGGGAGGCACAAGGGGCCATCCATGGAATGAACTTGGAGTTAAGGCAGTTTAGAATGAAGATTCAAGACAGATGTTGGTTTCTAGCTAGGCTTCTCTATCATTTCTCCACCATTTGCATCCATTATATATAATGATGTTGGGCTGTTTTTGGTAGTTTAATTATTTGTGCTAAAACATAGATTATGTGTAGCTAAACTGTTGTTCTAGGATTTTTGGAGCTTTATTTATGAATTAGTGAATGTTTCCAGTCCTCTTTGGCTATTTAATGGTAATTGTATTTATCCATTTGTGATCTTCAAACTTTATTGCTGATTAGCTATCCATTTGGACTGATTTGGTTTTCTAATAGTCTGTAGATAGAAAAAATTTGGTAATGGTGTTATTCATGCTTTATCCTCGTATAATCAAATTAGCTAGGTTTTCTCTTTTATTAAGCTAACTAATGAATCTTGCGAAAGAAGAGGCTTAAAGCAATTAGATAGCATCTATAATTTTGAGAGATGCTTAATGAAATTGATCATATTTTGTTTCTCAAGTCTTAAAATTAAGGGATAACCTAATCATGTGTCCTTATAGTTTTGTTGGTTTTTAATTTTAGTTCCTATAATTTGTTTTCATTCTTTATAGTTCATATAATTTAACATTATTAGGAATTTAAAAAACAAACGTCACCTAATTTTATTGAAACTATAGAGAATGAAAATACTAAAAAAAGAAACTATAAGAAGTAAAAGCAAAACTTGATGAAACTAAAAGAACCAATGATTGTGTTTTCCCTAAAATTAATAACAACTAACATTTAAGTTTAATATAAGTTTATTTCAGATTTTTCTTCCACTCTTGCTATTTGTACTGCTCAAACAGTTGATACTTAAGTAGGTTTCGGAATTAAATCTTCACGACAATGTTACTTTTCTTGTCACCATCTTACTTATCACAACCTCTGCTATTGCAGTACGCTGGTGAGGTGAACATTTATGTTGTTATGTTTTTATTTTAAAACTGATAACATACACCTAAGAAACCATGTTCTGATTTCGAAGAAGTAAAGAAACATACCCTTTTTCTAAGCTCCAACCAAGCCTGTGAGCTGCTTCAGACAAAGCCAACCTCCACTTCTCCACCTTTTCCATGTTATCCTGTAACTTGTCTTCAAGCTCGGCCATTGCTAATCCAAAAATTACGGTTTGATGGCTTACTTCTGAAGGGTCTACATTGTAGAAAACGGGCAAAACCAGTTTGCCTTTTGTTTTCACACAATCAAGGATCATAACAAGTGCATCAAGGCACCATTCAGAATATGCATCGGATTCAGAAAATACAATAATTGAAATCCTAGACTCTTTAATTGCTCTAAGAGCAATTGGGCCCGAATCTTCACTCCATTCAGAGCTCCCAACATCTTTGAAAGCATTAATATTGCTCTCATATAAAGCTTCATATAGATCACCAACAAAAATGTTGGAATCGCTGTAGGCTTCTTCAAAACTCAGGATCGATACATCATGTCCTGGTCCTTGCGCAAAAGATGATGTTATGGCCACTATTGTCAATTTTAATAGTAATAGTAAACATTTAGCTAGCAAAAGATAGATGCAACAGGCCTATTATCATATCAAAGCTTCAAAATTTTATAATCCAGATATAAGTATATGAACAAACACTAGGTATATACACTCATGCAATTTAGTCGAGGCATATATATATATATATATGCATCTTTAGCGAATGGAATAAATTGTATGGCATCTAATTACTAGCTAGTCAACGATTATTATTACCAATCAATGCATTTTCTAGCATCTAATTGCTATTCCACATCTTGCTAGAAAGACGTGATGTAATTGACTAGGCTATTCAGTTAAAATGTGAACCCAAATAATCTTTTTATTTGCAGGAGTGAAAAAAAAAAATCAGTATGGGCATTTTTTGTTGTATTATTGTTTGACTTGAACGGCAGTTTAAAACAGCTAACAACATAACAAAATCTTAAAATATTTGCAAGCTAATCATGTTATTAAAAAAACTGTTGCCAGAGCTTGCTTTTGTTAAATGCTGAACAGCCATGAATAGCATAACATATAGTTGTAAAGATTTCGTATTTATATTCCACAATTTACAATTAACTATATAATAACTTGCAATTAATGTTCTATCTTTTAAAATTCTAGCTATTAAGTACTTCTGGTCCGAAATTATAATTAAATTGTCACATTGGTCCCAAATTGTCATCCCCCATTAATATCAAAATAGGTATCCGCCCATTAATAGCAAAATAGGTATCCGCAATATTATTCATATCAGGTCCATCATTATTTCAGATCCCAACTTAAATGGAAAACCACTTTAAGTTTAATAGGCTTATTGGTCCACATCAAACCGTTTTGTAAAACTGATTAAAATTCAACCAGTGTAAGCCCACAGTAGAAAAATTCCAACAAAATATCCACAGTAAAGCACAAAGAAAACAGGCAGAACACCCCCCCGAAAAAAAAAAAAAAAAAAACCTGATGACTCATGATGCTCTCTGTTAGCACACTGGATTTCATTGAATTTAAATCCCGATAAGTATTACCTTCGAGTTCTTCTCTCCCTCCCTCTTTCTCTCTCTATTTTATTAACATTTGAGCTCTTCTCTACCAGTCGTTGTTCTATACATTTAACCAGTGGGGCATTAAATCAAATAATCTGAATGGTAACACAAAAAGAAAGAGGATTTGGGAGGGGGGGAATACCTCCATGTTCCATAGTGTTCCCAATTGACTGTACGGATTTTGTTAATTGTTCTAAATGAAGGCGATGAGAAACAACTTCGACGATGCGTAGGATAACATTTTCTTCCTTGTACCTACTCAATTACGAGCATTCATTAATAAGCGCAAAGTAAACAAGTGAAAATTTGAATACAATATTCATTTTCTTTTACTTTAAAGGCAAACTCTGTTTTCAAACCATGACATATTTAATAATTTACATGCAGCTTAAATGCTTGAAATCAATTATTTTCTTTTCCTTTCTTAAATTAAAGGAATTTAGAATGTGATTTATGCAGCTGTGTTTTTGTTGAAAATCTCCTGACAAACACCAAAAAAAACTCTTTTTTTGGTTTCAAAGAAACAAGTAGAGACATACATTCTTGTTATGCTCCAACCAAGCATGTGGGATGCTTCTGACAAAGCAAACTTCCACCTTTGCATCTTTATGTCATTGTTTAATCTGTGTCCATGCTTGGTCATTGCTAATCCAAAACTTCCTGATTGATGTCTTACTTTTGAAGGGTCTGTATAGTAGAAGATTGGGAAAACCAATTTGCCCTTTGTTGCAATGCTATTGATGATCATAGCAAGCGCTTCAATACACCTTATGGAATAAGCATAGAATGAAGAGAATACGATAATTATAATCCTTGACTCCTCAAATGCTTCTCTGACCACAGTTGGGAAAATATCTTCTCTCAATCCAATGCTTCCAACATCTTTGAAAGCATTAATCTTTCTCTCATATAGAGCATTATATAATTTGTTCGTGAAGTAGGAATCGCAGTCTTGAAGACTCAGAAATACATCATGTCTCGATTCTTCTACAAAAGAAAATGATATTATTGTAGCCATTAATTGCTGCTAATAATAACAGCAAAAGTATACATTCTACCAGCAACATTCTATAGATGTCATGCAAGAGGCTTAATGTTCATATCAAAGCTTCAAAATATTATAATCAAGGTATAAGTGTATAACCAAATAACAGGCATGCATTCATGGAACTTACGCGTTAGCATTATTCACCTTGGTTTACTGAAGAAATAGATAAATTGTATGGCATCTCACTAGTAAACCTTAACATCGTCGCTGGTCAACTTTTTCCATTTTTTTTTATACAGAAAAAATGGTTTTCAGAGAAGAGCTATTTCACGCGTTGCTAGAAAGATGTTATGGAACTAGGATATTCATGTTATAATTTTACCAAAACATCTAGACAGGTATCTTCACCTCAATAAATTAAAAAGAGGGATCTAATACTTATAAAATTTAGTATAAAAGACTAAAAATTAAATTAGGCTGAATGATTAAGGTAAGTGTAATTAACTATTATAACCTTAGCATAAAATATGTCAATAACACCATAAAATAAACATGAGGTACTGTCCAAGTTACAAAATATTCTTTAAAAAATTAAGGTCGTGCTGTTTTCAATTTTACATGCACACAGAAAAAAATAGTTTTAAATTTAATTAGAACAATATAATTTAAAAAAATATTTTCTTTTAAATAATTGAATCAATATAATTTTTGAATATTTATTTTTAAAAAATTAAATCAATATAATTTAAAAAATGTTTACTTTTAAAGAATTATTCAATTCAATTTTTTCCAATAACAGTGTCTCAATCTCTAGATTTGTAGATTAATTTTTAAGAGAGAGACGTCATTAACTTGCTGCAAGTTTAAAAAAATGTAGGATAAATTATTAGGAAAAATAGTATTTTTAAATTTATATTTTGATATTAGGTCCTTCTAAATAAATTTTTTTAAAATCTTCTGCAATAAATATTATATTTTCCATGTTCTTCATTATAACTTTTCCAACTCTATAAAAATATTAAATGTGTGGCTAAAATTTTCCTAAAATATAATATCGCGCATTTGTATAATATAAAACAGAAAATTGAGAGTGGATCATTGCCCCTGATTTTGCGCCAAGTGGGTCCGTCCCTCAATAAAATATGAAATAAAAAATCATTTTTTCTTTAATACGTGTGTGTGTGTAGCGTAACAACAGAGCGAGAATGTACTTAAGGTACTGTCAAATGACATTATTTAAACAATATAATATACTTAATATGTATATACAATATGTCAATAAAAAAAATTAAAATTTTAAATATAACTTTTATTTCAGAAGAATTATTTTACAAGCTAAGTACATAACAATAAGAAAAATGATAATAAAATCCCTCTAAAATATATAAATGATAATTTAATCTTTCAAATGTCATAATTTTATTGAAGTTTTTAAAACTTTTCTGTCATTAATGAATTTATATAAATTATAAAATCTTTCTTATTAAAAATAAATAATTCATAAATTTTGTTTAAATATTTACAACTTTTCTTCTTATATTCGCAACATTACAATAGCAAATAAGGAATTTAACATGCGAAATTGTAATTTATTATTTTATTATTATGAATATAAGAAAGAAAGTTGTGAATATTTGAATAAAATTTATAAATCATTTATTTTTAGCAAGAATAATTTGATAATTTATATAAATTCATTAATGATAGAAAAGTCCCTAGGGACTTTAGTGAAATTATGACATTTCGAGGGATCAAATTATTATTTATATATTTTAAAGGAATTTTATTATTTTTTCCCTAAAAATAATCATCTATTTTAAGAAAGTTCAATATGGTTATGGCAATACTTTAATAAGTCATGGTGATCTTTGTTAACCTTGTAAATTTCATTTTCAAGGAGTTCCCGATCATTCCTGTTTTGTTATATAATAATCCAGGTGTGTTTTGATATGAGAGAGAATATCAATGGTAACACAAAATGAAAGAAGGAAAAAATAATACCTTCATAATGCGTAGTGTTTTCAATTAACTCTCCATATTTTGTTGAGTTTGAGTCCTGATTTGTGTTGTCTTGAAGCTCTTCCAAATCTTGTGGTTGTTGTTGTACTTTCAGCCACGAGTTGCAATCATTGTATGTTCTAGGATCCATGAATCTAATATGATCTTCTGTATTATTTTGTTGCCTCCACGAATGAGCACCAAAATAAATTCTTTTTATTTCCTGTGCGTTGCCCTCAATGGAAACCTTCACTTGATTCCATTTATTTGCATGTGGGAGTTCAGCATTGTGATCAATTATGCTTTTCAAATCACATATATATAATGATCGATCATGATTGTCAAAATCCGCCACTCAGAAGAAATATCTAACTTGGTATCATTGATTTGCACCATGAATCTATCATTGAATAGAAAAATCCTGGCCATATTCAGCAAGAATCCATAGAAAATTGTTGGGAACTCATTACGAACCCAAAGACATGGAGTTTCCTTGATTATAACTGTCAAGCCATTCTGGGATTTTTCTTTCCGGGAAAATAAAGTTTCTTTTCCCAGGTTTGAAGTAGAATGCCTGCAATAAATTACGAATTACAACATATGATAAATAAAATGAGCAACAACAAAAAAAAAAAAAGATGAGAAACGATAAGAAACTTTGTTCCTGAAAAAAATAAAGTTTTTTCCCAAGTTAAAAGTAGAATGCTTGAAAATTACATATTATTACAGAAAATGATAAATAAAATATACTAAACAAAAAGAATATAAGATGGGAGCGGGAGAGACCTGATTCAATATTTTACTTCTAGAAGAATCTGTCAAGGATATGCAATTCGTGGCGCTAAATTTTTCCAACTTTGGTGGCATCTCCAGAATATGCTTAAGTTGCATGCAATTATCCAACAAAAGATATTTCAAATGGTGACATTTCTTTGATGCATACTGGAGGGTTGTGAAATGATTAAAAACTTAAATTTAAATGTACCACTTAGGAGAGTAAGAAAGACAGAGAGCAACAGAATCATTTGATAAATTGCAATTTGAGAACAAAAAGTTCCCATTTTGAAGACTCTAAGCACTCTAGACTTGCTTCGCCTCCACTTTGAGCACCTTAAAACGCCTCATCCCTTCGCAAGATCTGCTGTTAGTCTCCAAAGGTTTGGCAACACACAATGCTGGCTGGTAATTGCTTAAGATTAGACACTCCTCCATATGTGAGATTTCCCGGTGAGATTGATGGGCCCCATGGCACGGTGACATAGCATTAATGGCAACGAAGCCTGAGGATGGTAATCATGAGCATGGTGACATAGAAGGAGCCCAATACTTCCAATCCAACGTACCTAAAGACCCATTGCAACATATTGGAGGTCCAATGACAAGAGCCCGAACCAAAGCTATGAAGCAAGCCTTGTTCAGTCTTGTGCAAGAAGTTCAAGAGCTTGGAGAGCATTGGGGCACTCCCCTCAAGTCCAAAGGAGAGCATCTATATGTGTATAATGTATTTAAGATCCAAACTCATGAAGAGTCAAGCCCAAGAGATGCAGACCTTAGCCCAATGCAAGGAAGACTACAAGTTGAGCCTCTTGCATGCAAGGAGACATGAAACCCTAGTAAAGAAGTCAAGGGGGCGTGATTTCAAATCCTTTATGATCCCTTGATTGTCTCCTAAATTATTTCCTATTTTAATGGTCCTTTGATTTGATTTTCTATTTTGAGTCTAGTCAAAGGTTAGAATTAATTATAATATTAATTTCTAAATTTTGTAATCCCATAATTTTAGGATCACATCTCCTAAATTATGTGGCTAAATATTTTATCATTATTTCTCCTTTTAGTATTAGGAAATTAGGGTTTTAATTTTAGGAAATATTTTTCTATGAGCCTATATAAATTAGGCATGCTCCCTATTGTAAACACACAGAAGTTGAATGAAATTATTCATTTTAGAGTTTATAACTCTTGTGAGCCTTAGTGCTTTGTGGTGGTATCCCGTGTGAGAAACCGACGTGATCAAGAGCGTGATCAACTCTTGTGGTGTCTTCGAAGGTTGAGGTTCCTAGAGGCAGGTGCTCTAGAGGATCTTCTCCTTGATCATTATCCTATTGTTTACTTCATACCTTTCTTTATTTCCGTCATAAATTTCGTCCCTTTTTTTTGTTCTTGTGTTTTTGTTGTTTCAGGGTTCTGTCCCTAAACTAGCACGATTCTGCTTCCGCGTCCCTATCAGATTGGCATCAGAGCTTTGGTTGCTAGTTTTGGTTTAAATTCTTGTCCTTCCTTCTTCTTTTTCATCTTGAGTTATTTCTTTTTGTGATCATCTCTTATCTACCCCATCTACTTCTATCTTTTGGTTTTTCTCTTCTTCATCTTTGTGACTTTTTATCTTATGTGAGTTTTCATTTTATTAGCCTTCTCAAAAAAAAAAAGAAAAAAAAATACCTAGAAATTCGTGCAAAAAAAAGGCAAAAAAAAAAGTGTTAGTGTGTTGAGAAAAAAAAAGAGAAAAAAAAATCCGAAAATTCAAAAAAAAAATTTACAAAAAAAAATATATTGCTGTGAGTTATGACTGTAGAAAAAGGCTATTCTTGAACTCCAAGTCACCAAGAGGTTGCTTAAAGAGAAAAGTCAACTTGGGTGATAAGAAAGTCTTTTACGTTGATCACTTTCTTATTTTTTATTTTTGGTAGCACTTTTCAAATTCTCTACTCTCTTATTTGCTATTTGTGCTACTCTCTTATTTTATTTAGTTTTTTTTTATTTTTGTCTTTGAGTATTTGACTCTTTGACTTTTATTTCTTTTTTTCTTATTTTTCACGTGTGGTTTTTCCTTTAACAAGCTTAATTTTATTTGAAAATTTTGCTTTCCTATTTGTTTCAAAATTGCAAAAAAAAAAAATCCTCTTTTCACCTTGTGCTTGTTTTCTAGTTTCCTTAATTTAGAAGATATTCACTTGATTGTTCCTTAGTTTCTTGATTTGTGGGTTTCACCATTGGATTCTATCCACAAGCTTAGTGAGTGGTAAAAGGCAAGTGTGTTTTTCATCATTAAAAAAAAAAGCCATTACTTTTTTTTTGTGTGAAACACGAGTGACTTTATCTTGAGAGTAAACACGTGAGTTTGTGTGTGTGAGGACCTATTTTTATCTTATATGGTTTCTAGTGCTTCTGTGAACATGAGTAACAAGGATGAATCCCCTAGTATTGATATGAACTCTGTTTTAGAACTTATCAAAACACAGTTGCAGCAGTTTCGCTTGGAACTTGATCATAGGTTCCATAAAGAGGATAAAGATGAGCCGGAGACTTCCTCTTCTAAAGGAAAGAAGCATAAGATCCCCAGCGATGATGAGGAGTATGAAGAACCCCCTTCTCCTAAGGGAAAGAAATCCTCAAAGCGTGGTGTTGACTTACCGGACCAAAAAGTAAAGTATCCTTCATTCAAGGGTAGCAACAATCCAGAAAAATACCTTGATTGGGAAATGAAGATGGACCAAATCTTCATGACTCTTGATTTGTCTGAGTCAAGGAAGGTAAAAACTGCTTCTTTGAATTTCACTGACTATGCTGTTTATTGGTGGCAAGATTTACAGTACAAAAGAAGCCAACTTGGGAAAAAGCCTATTAAAACGTGGGAGAAGCTTAAAAGGTACTTGAGAAAGGCTTATGTCCCCAGCTACTACTATACAGAGCTGAATAGAAAATTGAGAATGTTTTCTCAAGGATCTATGACAGTGGAGGAGTATGTGCACGAGTTGAATATCTTGAAGTTTCGTGCAAACATTCAAGAAAATGAACGTGAAGCAATGTCAAGAATTATGGATGGCTTGAGGCCAGAGTTGAGAGATAAGCTTGACTTGTACACTTTTGTGGACAAGGAAGAGCTCATACACAAGGCTATAAAGTTGGAGCAGAGAAATAAGAACAAACGTTCCAAGTCCTCTTGGAAAGACTCCAAGACAACTTCCAAATGGAAGGATTCCAAAGCCAAAGATACATCCCAGGCCAAGGAAGAAATAAAGACCAAGTATGAGGGTAAAACTTCTAACCCTAAACCTTCTTCTTATTCATCTAACACTTCTCCTATTAAGTGTTTCAAATGTCATGGTGTGGGCCACATGGCGAGAGATTGTAGCAATAAAAGGGTTATGATCTTGAGAGATGATGGTGGCTATGATAGTGTGCATGAAAGTGATAAAGATGATGCTGATAATGTTGATGATGATTCTACCTCCCATGAATCAAATGATGAGCTTGAATGCAATGGTGTAGTTGACTCTATCTTGGTGGCAAGAAGAGCTCTCAATATTCAACCAAAGGAGGATGATGAACATGAGCAACGCGAGCATATTTTTCACACTAGATGCTTCATCAAAGAGAAAGTGTGTAGCATGGTAATTGATGGTGGTAGTTGCACTAACGTCGCTAGCACTTTACTTGTAGATAAATTATCTTTACCTTTAATTCCACACCCTAAGCCCTACAAATTGCAATGGTTGAATGATTCTGCTGAAATTAGGGTTTCTAAGCAAGTGTTGATTACTTTCTCTGTTGGAGTTTATACTTGTGATGTATTATGTGATGTAGCCCCTATGCTTGCTGGACACTTGTTATTAGGTAGGCCTTGGCAGTTTGATAGTAAGGCTACTCATGATGGTTTTAGAAATTGTTACAAGGTGCCTTTTAAAGGCAAGACTGTTGTATTAAATCCTCTTAGGCCCATCCAAGCCTATGAAGATCAACTAAAGATTACTCAAGATTACAAGCAAAGGAGAGATCTCCTTGATTGTGGCATGAGTGAGAGAGAAAAGAAAGAGAGTATTACTTTACTTGAAAATCAATCAAAAGAGAGGAAAAAGAGTGGTGAGAAGGTGAGAAAAGAAAAAATAGAATGGTGGGAGTGAAGGAAAATAGTGAAAAAAAATATTATTGTGTGGGAAAAGTAAGATTCAAGAGGCTTTGATGAGTGAGCAAGCTCTTATTGTAATTCCCAAGAATATTTATTTTTCTACTAATACTTTTGACCCCACTTTGCCTTCTAGTGTTGTCTCTTTGTTGCAGGATTATAGAGATCTATTCCCTGATGAAATTCCTGATGGACTTCCTCCCTTAAGAGGAATTGAGCATAGGATAGATTTCTTGCCTGGAGCTGCTATTCCAAACAAGCCTGCTTATAGGGCTAACCCTGAAGAGACTAAGGAGATCCAGCGCCAAGTAGAGGAATTGATGATGAAAGGCTTTGTGCGTGAGAGCCTTAGCCCTTGTGCTGTCCCTGTTATCTTGGTGCCAAAAAAAGACGGATCTTGGAGGATGTGTGTTGATTGTAGAGCAATCAACAAAATCACTGTAAAGTATCGTTACCCTATCCCTAGACTTGAT